GCCTTTACAAGATTAAACCAGGTGAAACTAAAATGTTTCCACAAAAGGAAATATGGATTGAACTTTATATTATCTAAATGCAAAATGTTTACATATTTATGTAGAATGTTGATGTAGTTCCTGCTCTAAGTGGGTTGCTCTGTCAGCTAAAGGCATGTTTTACAGTCTCTATTCTCCAGATAATGATTAATTGATTGCTAAATAAGTTGACGATTATTTCAATAGTCGATTAATCACGATGAATCTGATGAATTGTTTCAGCCCCAATCAATAGTTGATTGGATCATCAGCAGGATTTTAATTATCTCTTCTGTGTCAAGATTGAGAAGCAAAGGGCTGGAGAGAAAATAGGTACCAAGCTGTCTGTAAAAAAGCCCCTGATAAATCTTCATAAATCCTGCTTCCCTGAAGGCCTCCAGAGATGGGGAGGTCGATAGATCCAAACCACCTAGATCATCACATTCACTGTATTTCCTGTTTGTTTCTGAACAGGAAACAAAATCCAGACAAACATCAACTCTGTAGCTCAGTATTCAATCTAAAGAAGATTAGCACCACATCATGATACCCCCACCACTGTGTTATACAGGCTGTATCATGGTTCTATTTTTTCCTAAATTAGTTATCTAAAATTAAAATAACCAATCTCCAAAACTACTTGAATTAATCTTTAACTTCAGACTGAGGAAGAAATGATGGATAATGGAGTCTTTGTAATTCTGAGTTTACACAAAGATCTAATTGCCGTAATATAAGTTGGATTGGATGAAATTAGCAATTTTTAGAATAGACAGAAAAAGGTGACAGTGCTGGCAGAGGATCTGATCCTTTTCCAGTTTTAAGTTAAAGAGGCGGCGTCACCCAAAGAAACTGAAGTGACAGGTTGCCTATAGTGAGCTTTGTGTAAGGGTGGCGAACCTCTCCATAACATCTACACTAAGCAGTGACACGTGGACACGTACTACAGTGGTCATTGTCTCACGCAGCCTAATGCTTTAATGGCGGCTTCAGTGTCAGCTGTGTGTGTTTGCCCTGCAGAAGGAAACGCCCCTGGCTAACGCCGTGTTCTGGGCAGCGAGGAAGGGAAACCTGGCACTGCTTCAGCTGCTGCTCAACAGCGGGCGAGTGGACGCAGACTGCAGAGACAGTGTACGGACAGTGCATGCCCGGCCGCTCCGCCGCACGCTTTAAGCAATATCTACCTGTGGTAGGGACACAGAGCGCTGTGGATGAAGAGAATGCTTTTATGTGAATGAGAATATTCTTAGTTTGCATGCAGTTCATGTTATCTGCATCCCACAGTGCTGTTCTCGTATCGTCACTTTTAAGGTATTTTTCTGTGGTTTTTCAGTCTAGACCAGGAGTCACCAACCTTTGTAAGGCAGAGGAAGGAAGGAAGCAAGGAAGGAAGGAAGC